AGACAGACAATAGATAGATAGATAACTGGATGGATACATAGGTAGAGATCATAGATATACCATAGATAATAAATTGAGGATAGATAGGCACACAGAAGATAGGAAGGAAGGAAGGAAGGAAGGAGAGAATAGATAGAGATAGATAGATAGATAGACAGACAGATAGACAGAGATAGATAAGTAGAGTAATTCCTACATAATTCATACAAGCTAAGTTCCTTTGCGGCATTTGGAAACTAACCAACAAGAGAAGCAACCCAGAACTTAGCAGAAATGTCCCAACGTTTAGAACTTAGCAGAAATTCACCAGTGGAACTCCTTGGCTCCAGAAGTCGTGGGCTCCTTGGCTCCATCACTGGAGGCTTACAAGAAGAAACCGGACAGCCATTTGTCTTAAATGGGACAGGCCTGAGCAGGGGGTTAGACTAGAAGACCTCCCAGGTCCCTTCCAACTCTGCAATTCTATAGATCAGAAAGCAAAGCCACCTGGCCTAAGCCCAACCGGGGTGGGGGTGGGGGGGTAGGATGGATGCGCACCACACTCTGCATGCTGCATTTGTGCGCACAGAGGGTTTTGGGAATGCTCTGTAACTTCTGCATTGGTAGAGGCAGATTCACAGCTGCTCGTCCCCAGGACCAAACCTCTCTTGGATGAGTCTTATCTCAACCGGCACCTTTCAGCCTGGCTTCTGTGCTCCACACCAGTTTATCAGCTTATCCAGAGGACCTTAAGCTACCAAGGCAGGTCACTCTGAATCGTGAAAGGGGGCGGGGGAAGAGGGGGAGAGAGAATATCCTTTTAGCTTGTCTTGGTTGCTGCCAACAGTACATCAAGAGATGGAACTGAGCCAAGGTCATGCAGCCAACCGTGGGGCACTAGGACCCAGCCATCTCTTAATCCCACACCAACACCACACAGCCAGGCACCTCGGGTTGCACACATCCCACATCCGCAGCCACAACTCGGAGGCAAACACCAACACCGCCGCCACAAAAGATAACAAGCTTTATTCTACAAGGGCGATGGAGGGGGGAACGCTAAAGCGGAATTCAGACTACAATACCCAGCATCCCTCAAACTTGGAAAGCACTGCCTGGCGCTTTCAAAAGTGCTGCAGTTTGGAGATGGGGGGGTGGGGGGTGGAGGGGAGAAAGGAGAGAGGGAGGGAGGGAGGTTGGCCGTCCTCCTGTTCGGGATTCCGCGTCAGGGCGCACAGCCCCAGAGGGGGGCGCCGCGTTGGCGTTCAGGACGGACTGCACCTATCAAGTTGCCAATGAGGATAAAACAACCTGCTGGCTTACGAGAGGCCCCGAAGTGGTCAGATGGTAGATAGAGAGATAGGATAGATAGATAGATGATAGATAGATAGATAGATAGATAGATAGATAGATAGATAG